CAGCCATAAAAAAGAATGAAATCTTGCCATTTGCAATGATGTGGATGGAGCTAAGAGTGCATTATGCTAAGCAAAATAAGTCATTCAGAGAAAGACAAATACCATATGATTTCACTCATATGTGGAATTTAAGAAACAAAACTGATGAACATAGGGGAAAAAAGAGAGAGGCAAAGCATAAAACAGACTCAACTATAGAGAACAAATTGAGGGTTGCTGGAAGGGAGGTGGGCAGGGGGATGGTTTAAACAGGTGATGGGTATTAAGGAGGGCATTTGTTGAGATGAGCCCTAGTTGTTGTATATAAGTGATGAATCACTAAATTCTACATCTGAAACTAATATTACACTGTATGTTAACTAACTGGAATTTAAATAAAAACTTGAAACAAAATCATACATTATCACCACAAAAGACCCCAAATAGACAAAATAATCTTGAAAAACAAAACTGGAGGTATCACAATTCCAGACTTCAAGTTATATTATAAAGCTGTAGTAATCAGTATGGTACTGGCACAAAAATAGACACACAGATCAATAGAACAGAATAGAAAGCCCAGAATTAAACCTACAATTATGTGGTCAATTAATCTTTAACAAAGCAGGAAAGAATATTCAAAAAGAAGAGAGATAAACCAAGAAACAGTGTCTTAACTATAGAGAACAAATTGATGGTTACCAGAGGGGAGGTATGAGTGGGGATTGGTCAAGTAGTTGATAAAAGAAAAAGAAATCATACATCTAAAGAGTTCAAATCCCAGAAACTGGATTGATGCTACTAGTAAGGCTCTGAACCAAGCTGAACTTACAAATGACACTCCACACTGGTGTGATTGAATTCACTGATAATATATAAAAAATGAAGATACAGAACTTTGGACACTAGATAAAACAGCAATTGAGCATCAAGTTTCTCATTAAGGAGCTCAACTAAGCAAATAAGGGAGCTGTAGATTGAAAAGTAAAAGACAAGTGCAGGTTTACTTAAGAGTACGAACTTTGAAGTCAGTTATGGGTTTGAATTCTCCCACTTACTAGCTAGATGAGCCGGGATAATTTAGTTAACCTTTCCAAATTTCAGTTTCTTTCACAATAAAATGGACATAAGAGTGTCTATATCACTGTATTTATGTAAATACTGAAGGACTTAATGTACATATAATACTTAGCAGGGTACCCAGCACAATAAATAATAGTTTCCAATAATAACATAATTGTCATTATTCTTATTATGATAGAGCATAAGTAAAGCCCCAGCCCAACTTGTTTTGAAAGTGTATTGTGGAAAATTATGTTTATTATATATATATATGTATGTGTGTGTATATATATATGTATATATATACACACACATACATAAAGCGATCTCTGACCTAAGGAACAATACTGAGAATAACAGACAACTCAAGACTTGTTTTAAGTCTATAATAATAGTAGCAAATATTTGTTGAGCCATAGTATGGCTTTACTTACCACTGTTCTAAGTACTTTGCATGCATTAACTCATTAAATTTTCATAGTAACTCTATGAGATAGGTAGTATTAGTATTTCTATTCCACAAATGATAAAGTAGACACAAGAAGGTTGAATAATTTGCTAGAAAGTAGTGGTGCCAGGACTAGAATTTAGTAAGGATAGCTCCAGAACACATACTTTTAATTACTATGTTCTACTATCTTCCCACCACTCTACTCTGTTGCCTCTATAGCCAATCCGTCTGTTAAATGATTAATAGCATGAATGCTTATTTGTCAAATGCTTTATCTGCATCTATTGAAATGATCATATGGTTCTTATTCTTTTATTAATGTGGTATATTACATTGATTGATTTGCACATGATGAACCACACTTATAACCAAGGAATAAATCCCACTCGACCATGAGGAATGATTTTTAAATATATTGTTGGATTTGGTTCAGTAGTATTTTACTGAGGAATTCTGCATCCATGTTCATCAGGAATATTAGCCTCTAGTTCTCTTTTTTAGCGGAGTCCTTAGCTGTCTTTGGTATCAGGGTAATGCATTTGAAAAAGTACAACATCCATTCATGATAAAAACACTCAACAAAGTAGGTTAAGAGAAAACATCCCTCAACATTATAAAGGCCATATGTGAAAAACCCACAAGTAATATCATCCTCAATGGGGAAAAACTGAGAGCTTTTTCTCTACAGTCAGGAAGAAAACAAGGAAGTCCACTCTCACCACTGTTATTTAACATAGTAATGGAAGGCCTAGCCATAGCAGACAACAAAAAGAATTGAAATGCACCCAAATTGGCAAGGAAGAAGTAAAACTTTCACTATTTGCAGATGACATGAAATGTTATATAGAAAACCCAAAAGACTCCACCAAAAAACTGCTAGAACTGATGTGTGAATTCAGTAAAGTTTCAGGATACAAAATCAACATAGAGAAATCTGTTGCATTTCTATATAGCAATAATGAAGCAGCAGGAAGAGAAATTCAGAAAACAATTCCATTTACAATTGCAACCAAAATAAGAAGATAACTAGGAATAAATCCAACCAGAGAGGTAAAAGACCTGTACTCTGAAAACTAGAAAACACCAATGAAAGAAATTGAAGATGACACAAAGAAATGGAAAGATATTCCATGCTCATGGGTTAGAAAAACAAATATTATTAAAATGTCTATAGTACCCAAAGCCACCTACACATTCAATGCAATCCCTATCAAAATACCACCAGCATTTTTCACTGTTATAAGAAACAATCCTAAAATTTGTATGGAACCACAAAAGACCCCAAATAGCCAAAGGAATGTTGAAAAAGAAAAGCAAAGCAAAGTTGAAAAAGAAAACCAAAGCTGGTGGCATCACAATTCCGGACTTCAAGCTCTATTACAAAGCTGTAATCATCAAGACAGTATGGTACTGGCACAAAAACAGACACATGGATCAATGGAACAGAATAGAGAACCCAGAAATGGACCCTCAACTCCATGGTCAACTAATCTTTGACAAAGCAAGAAAGAATATCCAATGGAAAAAAGACAGTCTCTTCAACAAATGGTGCTGGGAAAATTGGACAGCCACATGCAGAAGAATGAAACTGGACCATTTCCTTACACCATACACAAAAATAGACTCAAAATGGATGAAAGACTTAAATGTGAGACAGGAATCCATCAAAATCCTTGAGGAGAACACAAGCAACCTCTTTGACCTTGCCGTAGCAACTTCTTCCTAGACACATCGCCAAAGGCAAGGGAAGCAAGGGCAAAAATGAACTATTGGCACTTCATCAAGATAAAAAGCTTTTGCACAGCAAAGGAACCAGTCAACAAAACCAAAAGACACCTGACAGAATGGAAGAAGATATTTGCAAATGACATATCAGATAAAGGGCTGGTATCCAAAACATATAAAGAACTTATACAACTCAACACCCCTAAAACAAATGATCCAATTAAGAAATGGGCAGAAGTCATAAACAGACATTTCTCCAAAGACATCCAGATGGTCAAAAGACACATGAAAAGATGCTCATCATCACTTATCATCAGGGAAATGCAAATCAAAACTACAAGGAGGTATCACCTCACACCTGCAAAATGGCTAAAACCAAAATCACAAGAAAAAACAAGTGTTGGTGAGGGTGCGGAGAAAGAGGAACCCTCTTGCATTGTTGGTGGGAATGCAAACTTGTGCAGCCACTGTGGAAAATATTATGGGGTTCCTCAAAAAATTAAAAATAGAACTACTCTATGATACAGTAATTGCACTACTGGGTGCTTACCTCAAAAATACAAAAACATCTATTGAAAGGGATACATGCACCCATATGTTTACTGCAGTATTATTTATAACAGCCAAAATTGGAAGCAGCCCAAGTGTGCATTGATGGATGTAAAAGATGTGGTAAATATATACAATCAAATATTACTCAGCTCCAGTAAAAATGAAATCTTGATATTTGCAAATAAATGGATGGAGGTAGAGAGTATAATGCTAAGTGAAGTAAGTTGGTCAGAGAAGGACAAATACCATATGATTTCATTCATACGTGGAATTTAGGAAACAAAACAAGAAAGAAACAAGAAACAAAAAAGTACAGGAAAAAAGATGAAGAGAGACAAACCAAAAAACACTCTTAACTATAGAGAACAAACTGGTGGTTACCAGAGGGCAGCTAGTTTGGGGGATGGGTGATATAGGTGATGGTGATTAATGAGTACACTTATCATGATGAGCACTGAGTAATGTATAGAATTGTGAATCACTATATTGTACACCTGAAACTAATAAATACTCTATGTTATGTTAAATATACTAGCATTAAAATAAAAAAAGAGTAAAAAATAAAAATGCATAATATAAACATTATGTAACTAATTAATTATAACAGTTAATCCCATGAAGTGAGAATTAAAAGTGGCTATATAAAGTGGCTACATAAATACTTATGGTTATGCCTGAAAAAATAACACGAGGTTAAGTGTTAAGACTCATGCTTAGTTTATACATTTTCTAATGGAAAATTCCTCAATCTCTCTACAGTGGTAGTATAAATTGCAGATTAAGCCAGATGGGGGTGAAAAGTGGGGAAGAATATGTAAATATATTGCAACTGTGATGGTGAAGGACTTATCCTTTTAAATTTCCTTGTGGGACCCTTATTCCATACCTTCAAGAAGGAATGAATTGTGTAGGAAGGCAAGGTACCTAGGACAACAGTGATGAAGCAAGAGCCTAGGGTCACTGTGGCCAACAGCATGATTATCTATGTCTTTCTCTAACATAAATACTGGTAACTTCCAATTCCTGTCCTATAGCCAAAGGGGCCATCGAAAATATGTTCTGCTTTATCTCTGGGTAAGCTCCTGGTACGCCTCCTGAAAAATGCCATCCTAAACTTTCCACTCAATTCAGTATTCCTGGGAAAGTTGCTCAATTTATAGGCTTTTATGTAATTTACTTTTAGATAGAAAGGATACAATTCTGACCAATACAATTTACAATACTATCTTACCTTTTTCTGTTGGGCTCAAAACAGTCACTGTGAAAAAAAAAAAAGAGAAAGGTCAAAATTAGTGATATTTAAAAACATTTGTATTTTCCTTTTTTAAGATTTATTTATTTATTTGAGAGAGAGAGAGTGGGAGGGGGAGGGGCAAAGGGAGAGAGAGTCTCAAGGAGACTCCATGCTGAGCACGGAGCCTGACGCAGGGCTTGATCTCACAACCCTGAGATCACGACCTGAGCCGAAACCAAGAGTCAGATGCTTAATCACTGCACCACTCAGGTGCCCCAAAATGTCATTTTTCTAATCCTTCTTTCCATAATATCATTTTTGAGCCATGTATTCAGTGGAGTAACACCTTAGGAAACAACCAGCCTGCTAAGATGAGGGAAGGCAAGGATGATTAAATTCCATCCTTTGCTATCTTTCTTCATCTTAAACCTGAGTTAATTAAGCATTTGTACTCATTCAACAAATACAGATGTAACCAGATTTTTAAAAATTCCACCAAATGGAAACTCTTGAGCTATATAAGAACTTAAAAGCCAATCAATTAGGAGATGACCATTCATTTTCTCAAAGTATTCACTGTAGAACATCTTTAAATACCAAGCTTCTCTTATATATTTAGAGTTAATTTAGTGTAGAGGTTGCATGCCAGCTCTGAAGTCAAACTGCCTGGGTTAAAAACCCAGTTGCACTATTTTGTGACCTTAGGCAGGTTCCTTAACTTCCCTGACATCACCTACCTTACAAGGTTACTCGAGATTCAAACGAGTTAATGCATGTAACTGCTGTTTAACATAGTATCTACCACAAGGCAAGGATAAAATAAATATTAACACTTCTTATTATATTTGAACTATGAATTTGTAGAATATCAGAACTGGAAGAAACTTTAGCGATTATCAGGTTTATCTGTCTCATTTTACAGCTGGGAAAAAAGGACTAGAGTAGTATTAAATGATTTGTCCAATGTCACAGAGCAAGTTAATGGTAGAGCCAGGACTAGATTCCAGCCTCCAAGGCTTTTTGCATGTACTGTATCTATACCTTCCCCAATCATTCTTTGCTGCCTTATGTGATGTATACATAATTTTTGCTCAGAATGTCATTTGAACAAAGTGAGGCCTATTAGTCACCACCATCTGTGAGCATTTATACTAGATGTTAAGGCAAAGTGAAACTATAAGGCATGTCTTTCAATCTTGAGAAACTATTGAATTAAGATGGTTTTCAGGGGCGCTTGGATCAGTTGGTTAAGCAATTGACTCTTGATTTTGGCTCAGGTCATGATCTCAGCATCCTGGGATCCAGCCCTGCATTGAGTTCTACACTGGGTGTGGAGCCTGCTTGGGATTCTCTCTCCGTCTCTCTTCCTCTGCCCCTCCCCCCACTTGCATGTGCGAGCTCTCTCTCTCTCTCTCTAGAAGATAAAAAAAATTTTTAAATTAAAAAAACACATAGTTTCATACACAATGATAAACACTTAAGGTCAGAAAAATGGGGAAAAAATCCAAACAGAGAATTCTATATTCTAGGGGCTATTTCCTCAGTTATACTTTCTCTTTCTCTTCATTTCCAGGTCTATTTTTGTTGAGTCTTAAAAATTTATCCTTTCAGGGGTGCCTGGGTGGCTCAGTTGTTAATCATCTGCCTTCGGCTCAGGTCATGATCCCAGGACCCTGGGATCCTTGAGGAGAACATCGGGCTCCCTGTTCAGCGGGAAGCCTGCTTCTCCCTCTCCCATTCCCCCTGCTTGTGTTCCCTCTCTCACTATGTCTGTCTCTGTCAAATAAATAAATAAATCTTTAAAAAAATTTATTCTTTTAATAATCATTTGGATGAAATTTGTTAAAACTATTCTATTTTGTTTGTGCAAAAATCTGACCAGGTAATGCCCTCTTTTTTATAATACACCTTCCTGAAGATGGATACTAACTTTTTTTTTCCTTTCCAGTTAAAAAAAATCCTGGTTAAGAATGAATGAAAGAAGTACACACTCTACTTTGACAGTACAAATGGAAATGGAAACAAGAAGCCTTGGTGGGTCAACCTAGGATTCATGATTTTGCATATACATGTTGCATGACTGAATCAGTTGAACTAGGCTCTGAATTGGGTTAATAACATCTCCTTAAAATGGAGTCGGGGAGAGCAAAGTTGCTTGGAGACTAATCTTAATAAAGAATGGCTAACAAATTGCTATTTGGTATATCTCTTTCTATCTCTATGGCTGAACACACACACTGTAAGCAAAAAGCGGAGGTCCTAACTACCATTAGCTTGACCACTTGCTATAGTACTTGTGGGTGAGGGAATGCAATAATTCAGTGCTTTGAAGATATTGGAACGAGACAATGTGTATACAGAAAAATGAGTGGAAACCAGTGAAGTTTCCAGGTGGAGAACAGCTTTCTTTAAGTAATTTTATGTCTATCATGGTACAAGTGGGATTGGTTTATATGATCAAGAACAGTGGCCAGAAATAGAATCCATGGGTAAAAGCTACACGTCAACACATTTTAGCTCAATATAAGAAAAAAAAAAGATTTTGATGATGATGGTGACGATGACAATGATGACTATGACAATGATGGATTGGCAGCATTGGAAAGGACTGAGTTTCCCATTACACACATTTGGAAATGTTGTAGAGGATATTTACACATTAGTTAGACAGTGGACTTGACTTTTAAAGTTCCTTATATTCCTGAAATCTGTAAGGATTTCAATAAGCCTAAGGGAAAAAATATTTTCTTGCAAAATTCCCTGTTGGAAGTTACATACTTCTGAAGAAAAAAAGAAGGGCCTTTATTATAAAACATTGGGGCATTTATCTTGGTAGTTCTGCTTTTCCCTTAGTGATCTTTGTAATATTGCCTTTTTCACTATTAAAGGAAGAGACTAAGAATATGTCAGTCATATTTAAAATGAAAATGTTATTGCTTGTGATGTTTAATTTTATGTGTCAACTTGACTACGCTAAGGGATGCCCAAATAGCTGATAAAACATTATTTCTGGGTGTGTCACTGAGAGTATTTCTGGAAGAGATTAGCATTTAAAGCAGTAGAAGGTAAAGATCACCCTCACCAATTTATTGTGAGCATCATTCAATCCTTTGAGGGCCTGAATAGAACAAAAATGTAGAGGAAAGGCAAATTTGTTGTCTGATTGACCTCAAACATCTATCTTCTTTTGCAATCAGACATTGGTACTCCTGGTTCTCAGGCCTTTGGACTTGGACTAAAACTTACACCATTGGTTCCCCTGGTTCTCAGGCCTTCAGATTTGTACTGAAATTACACCACTGGCTTTCCTGGGCCTCCAGCTTGCAGAAGACAGATCATGGGACTTAACCTCAGTAATCACATAAGCTAAGCCCTTGTAATAAATCCCTTTTTAAATATTTATGTATATTTTATTGGTCTTGTTTCTTTAAGGAACTCTAATAGACTGCTATAACATAGATGAAGCTCAAAAACATGCACAGTGAAGCCACATACAGAAGACTGTATATATTGTACAATTCCATTTGTATGCATGTCTAGAAAAGGTAAGTTTTAGAAAGAGAAAGCAGATCAGTGGTTGCCTAGGGCTAGAGGTAAAAGTGAGGTGCTGCAAATGGTCATGAAGAAACTTCTGAGGGTGACAGAAATGTTTTGTAACTATACCAGGTTATACATTTATGAAAATCACTGAACTACATACCTACAATGGGTGGGTTTTATGGTATGTAATTTATACTTTAATAAAGCTGTTTAAAAATAATAAATAAAATTAAAATGTTACGAGTCATTATAAACTTTTACAAAATTAATCTTTTATCATGAATCTCTTGGATAAGTGTACATTTAGTCATTCTATGGGTAACTTGCCTTGCATGAATGTATAGTGAAGTGGTGATATGTGTAATTATACACCAGCTTTGTTCCTTCAAATTTTAGCTCACTACTGGGAAGTTATCATCAAATAGATTTTTGCACTGTTTCTCCTTTTTTCTTTCACCTAATTACTGATCCTTTGCAACTAGGTATGGAGAAAAGATATGGAAATGTGCAGTACATGAAAGGACATTTCATCACAGATAATTAGTGTTAAAAACAAAGCATATCTCATAACTTCCTTTAAGTAGATGCATATTGTAGGGTTCCCAAAAGGGGAATGTTAGAATAATCTTAATTTGAGGCTAGATGGAGATGGTCCACAAATGTAGTAGAAAGGACATGGAAGAAATTCTACAACAGTGCTGACCAATAAAAATATAATACAAGCCATGTAATTTACTGTTCTAGTAAGAACATTTCAAAAATTTAAAAAATACCAAGTGAAGTTAACTAATAACTAATAAATACTTTATTTAGTCCAATATATCAAACACATAGTTTCAACACGTTATGCACACAAAATTATTAATATTTTACATTCTTCTTTTTGTATGAAATTTTTGAAAGCTGGTGTGTACATTAAGCTTCAGCACATCTCAATTCAGATGCCATTTTTCAAGTGTTTAATAGCCACATGTGGCCAGTGGCTACCAAATTAGATAGTAAACCTCAAAAGGACTTGTAAAAGGAAAGTGGGAAGGTTGAAAATATGAGTCTATTGAGATGAATGTTCACTCACAATATGAAGTTCTTTTTTAATTAATGACTCATTTGGGAGGGGAGTTTATTGTAGTGATGTATTACGTTTACTTTGGCATGTACTCATATTGTAGCTCTGCCACTTACTTGTTCTTTGGCCCTAGGCAAATTATTTAATCTCTCTGGGCTTCAGTTTCCTCACCAGTAAAATGAGGATAAAATGTTGTTATAGAAATTAAATGATAAAATATGTGTAAAGTGCTTTTGGTGTCTGGTATATAATAAGTACTTAATTATTGTCAGCTATTTATTATTCTTCTGAGAAAGGTAAGCCTTTCAGTAAGATTAGGTTTTAGAATAGTTCAGGATAAAATAAGTCTTATTTAAAAATGTTGTTTATCATAGCCATCCCAAAGTTTCATATGATGGTTTTAAAAATAATGTATTCA